CCATCTCAGGAGGTGGCGGAGGGGTCTTTTGAGGAGATTGGGGTGTTGGCTGGGGAACCCTCGGCGATCCATTGCCTTCCTCAGGTTCCCTTATTGCGACGCCGATGGTCATCGGCCTCTGCTGAAAGTCATGAGGGCCGATGATGGCCATCCTTCGGCGCCTTTCAGAAGAGGCTGCTCGTCCATATCTGAGTCTGAAGACTCTTGTATTTGATCTTCGGGACGAACAGGAGCTTTGCCTTCTCTGTGTCTGTTACTCTCTTCAGACTGTAACAGACAGGGGGAAGAGAGTGTGAGTAAAAAAAAAAAAAAAAAAAAAAAAAAAGAAGAAGAAGAAAAGAAAAAAGTTGTCTGAAAGCTCACGAGGTCTTCAGCAAAGCCTCGTCTTCTTCAGCTGCTCTAGCTGCAGCTTCGGCTTCAGCAGCTCTGGAGGACCTTCTCCTCCTTCACAAGCCTCAAGTACCCGTGCAACCTCTTCGGCTGTGCGGGCAGCTTCAGCTTCTTCGTTCAGCAGCTGAAACCAAGGGTCTCTCTTCTTCCACCAAGGCTTCTGCCTCTGATACAGAGCGACAGCCTCAATTTGGAAGTGGAAGAGTCCAGATGAACTTCCCTATGCCTCGGCTCAGTGATAGACGGGGCCCGTTCAGTTACAACTCGCTCTCGGTTAACACCAAGACGAGCGTAGTTAATACCAACGTTGGTCTCGTCTCGCTCTGAAAAAAGGAAAGGGAAAAAGTTTAGCTCAGATATGTTGGCACAGCATAAAAAAGCAAAGCGAGAGAAGAAAAAGAGGTAGTTAAAAAGCCTCGGCCCCAGCCGAAGAAGCTTACCATCCTTAAACTTTCGGCTGAGGCCAACAGCTGCTAGCATATTCTCTTGGAAAACGTAATGCGTATCGGGGAGCCAAGTCTCCGGGATATGCTGCATTCGACCACTCCCCCCGGGTTCGGCAGCTTGCCGAAGATATGTTGCTGATCCAGGTTCGGATCCGCCCCGTTATCTGCGGGGGGACCTAGACTTCCCATTTCGGGATCAGGCTCAGCTAAGTACCGGGAGCGCTGAAGACACAAGGGTGGCCCGGATCTATGGGTGCCCTAACCCAAATCCATTGACCTCTCCAGTCCTTGTCTGAAGAGTCATTTGGCCACATGGTCAAATATTGGGGCCGGGACTCAATCCGATACCACCCAGAACCATGGCTTCCGTGCCCACTCTGAATATTTGGCACTAGCCGATGGAGCTTTCTGAAGCAGTGCAGGTTCGGCACGTATCTGAAGAACTTGCAGACCCATAAGTATGTCATCACCCTTCGGATGCTGGTGGGGGTTAGCTGACATAGGGAAATGTTGTAATGGATCAGCAAGTCTCGGACGAAAACGTCCAAAGGGAACCTCAGCCCATACTGAAGCTGTCTCGTGTACACCCCCACATACCCCGGGGGTGGACGATGGATTCTATCGGATGCTGAGGGCATTCGGCACCAATATCCATCAGCTTCAAAAATGCCGTAGTGCAACTCAATTTGCTCGGCAAATCGATATTGATCGGCGTTCTCTACCACCATGAGTAGGGGCGGTTCTTTATCATGGCCGAAGCGACTTCGGCATTCTCCCACTCTGAAAACCCAGGGAGGATATCCCAAAGGACAGCGGGAATTTCATCGTCCCGTCCAGAAGCACTCGGCTCATCCGTTCTTTGAGGAGGAGCCGAGGAAAGGGGAGTCGCCCTAATCCCATCAGCAGGGTCAGACTCCGGCCTTCGACCATTCCAGGTCCCAATCCTATTCCTAGGATCGGGAATCGGCCTTGCTCTTCTTGGAGCACGGGCTCTACCTCTAACTCCTCTTGCCATGGACTATTTCGAAGAGAAAAGTCGAAAGAAGAGGGGAAGGAGTTCGAATTCGAAGAAAAATAAACTGAAATCAAAGGAATTTACCTAATCTGAAGCGAAAGTTGCCGATTTACGAGTTCGTAGTGGCAAGTCTCAGCTTCTAAGCTCAATGCTCGGGGGAATTTGCGAAGTTTTGATACGGATTCTTGGATTCTCTCTCGAAGAATTCTGGGTTTGTGTTGGTGAATCAGTGAGGAGAATGACGCGCCTCTGTTTATATCTCCAGGTACGGGATACGAAGAGTCTGTGCTTTAATTTCTCTTAAGTACCCACTAAGTAACCATTAAACACATGTCTTGTGATTAAACCGCCCATTATCCGTCCAACTTCCGCAAATCATTAACCGTTGTTATCTCATTAATTACGGTTTAAATTCAAATTTTTGGATCAATTAAATCATTTACTTCCCTCCTTTTCTGAGTTAAATCAAACCCGACCCGTCATTCTTCCGAATCGGGTCTGGGGGGCAAGTTGTTTGGGTCCAATTTAGTCAAAATTGGGCCTGAGCACTAAATGATCCAATTAAAAGCCCAAGGTCAAGGTTCAACTCTCCAATTGCTCAAAAGTCAAAAGTCAGCCCACAAAGTAAGCCAATTGGGCTAAAGCCCAACCTCTCCAAATATGATGAGGTATAAAAGCCCTCATATTAACACATTCAAGGAGAGAGTCATATTCTTACATAAGACATCTCATAACATCACATACGAGACACAACAACACATGCATCATCACATACATTATCTCATACACGGATTATTCCAACTCATATGCTCATTCTTGCATTGAGAAATACTCCACAAAAGCCTCAAGCTACAAACTCTCTTGCATAGTGTCTTCCTTTTTACACATTGTACTGACTTTAGCATCGGAGGGGCCTTCCTCGGAAACACCCCCGAGGCTAGTTTACGTGTGTTCACTGTGCAGGAAACCTTCGGCCCAACACAGCTTGGATCGAATCCAGTCTTCTCCATTTTAGTGGACCTTCGGCAAGGTCCCATTGTTTTCAACCGAAACAGAAATTAAATCCCGAAACCACCTGAACCAACCCAAAACCCACTGAAATCACGTTTGCCGCCTGTTTTGTTTAGCCTGAACGACCGTTCAAGGAGTGGGAGAATAATGGTTCGGCGATGGGGGAGGGGACACTAGGAGGGTTCGTTGGTCGTTGGTCGACATTAAGGGAAGGAGATGAATTGGGGTCGGGGTTTGGTGAGAGAGAAAGGGTCTGATTTGGGGGTCGACAGGTACAGGGTTTGCTTTGAAGTACCGGCGGGTGGAGTTGGTCAAAGGTGACCGGAGGAAGGGAAGGTGCTGAGCTATGGTGGTCGGTGGGGCTTCTAGTCGGCGGCAAGCGGCTGAGCTAGTTGGGGAAGCTGACATCAATGGAGGGGGAGAGGAAAAAATTGAATTCTGTTTTTTTTTTTTTTTTTTTTTTTTTAAGAAATTCATTTTTTTAATTAATGTGTGTTAATTTTTGTAAGAAGTGTTAATAATAAGTAGTATAGTTAATTAGCAATTAATTATAATTTAATAAACGATTTAAAAAATAAAAATTTGATAACCGGAGGTTATAGGTAAAATAACTTGTTTAAAGCGGACAACCTCCAAAGGTCGTATTATTTATAAATAATCAAACGGTTGATTTGTTTTTAGCGGACCGCTCAAAGTTTATATTATTTTTGACAATTTTTTCTTTAATTTTTGGGTTTTTCTTTTGGATATTTTTTTTCTTGTTTCTCTTGGATATTTTAAAATTTTAAAAAGGAGAAAATAGAAAGAAGTGAATAGAGAAAAAATGAAATGGTGTATGTGAGGAAACTCCGCCCTAAGTGGTTGAGTTGCATCACCGCTCACCAGAAAGAAAGCAACCGCCAATAAAATTAATGGACATCTTTGGTATTTCACGCTTCACAAACCAAACACTATTAACTTTGACTTATTCCAACTTACAACATGGATTTTGTGCTAGCAATGTGTGTATGACATCGTGTCACTAGTTGAAAAAATGTTATTTGTAACTGGTAAAATTGACTTTTTGTAACTGGCATTGTAGATTGCGAATGCCACCGTTACAACTAGTGAAAATTATTCGTAACCGGCTAATGTTAGTTACAAATAATGTACTATTCGTAACTGACTTAACCTAACGCTAGTTACAAATAAGTTATTTTCCAAGTTAGAAAGCATATTATTTGTAACTGGCGTTGAGTTATGCCGGTTACAAATAAAGTATTATTTGTAACTGGCATAGCCTAACGCCAGTTACAAATTGTGTTTATTATATAAAAAAAAATGGTAGCAGTGGGAAATTCCTATACTACCACCACCCGTACACTACATTTATATTTTTATAATGTAATGACCATTAATAGTCAATAAACTTTTATAAAATACAATAACTATCAATGTAACTAATCTAAGACCAACTTTAAGCGACACCTTGTCAATTACATTGAATTGATGTAATTGTAAATTACAAATATTTCTCTCACAATTCACAATAAATAATACTCTATAACTAAAATAAGCTAGTTAGTTAATTGATACAATGGTCAACCTTCAAATTTTGACGATTTTGTTTATTTTGCCTGCTTCACAAATTTGACTATTCTGTATAGGCCGGGATAGCAGTAGTTCTCACTGAACACTTGATATTGCGACAAAATTCTGCATGGGGAAGAAATATATACATAAAAAAGCCAAAATTAAAAGGGATGTTTCAGACAGTGACCAAGTGAACTCTTCTAACAAGGTCAATGCATCAAAGTGAGGGGATATAAAAGAAAATAATCATCAAAACTCACAAGAAAAACTTCAGCCACTTATTAGACAAAACTAGTGACAAAAAAATTTAATACAAAAATCAAAACCAGTAATTTCACTAAAACTATGCTATGACTAAACTAGCTATCACATACATATAATTGTATCTGACTAAACTGTCACATACATATAATTGCTTTTATAGTTGAGGGGAGAGCAATAAAACAACCCCACATAAAATACAACTCTTATACTCGGTTATACTCAAGGATACATCATTAGAGGAATAAAGGCTATACAATATACATAAAGTCGCAAGGGAACACTTTTCTAGTAAGAAAACTATTCAAACAGAATATTGATACAATTGCATTATTATGTTATACTTGACAATATTTAGCAAACAAGAAAGCATGCAAGTTTAGAGTGGCCTACAATATTCTCTGAAAGAGTAAAAGACAAGAAACAAAAAGATCTTATGATGCTAAATACAAAAGAAGGTGAACATTATTTTGAGAGGAGGATGGGGGTTCCAATTTCTATTAGGATTAGAACTCACACCAGCATAAGCAAAAATGGGGGCAGGTTGGCCATTATATTTCCCCTAAACCTGATGTATATACACTTGCATCAACCAAAATCAGCTTGTTAACCAAAATCATGTAGAGATATAAAGTCAAATTCCAATTGTAGCCGCATATATAACATTTTAATATTGTATATTCACATAAATTCCAAGTTGTGAGGATGTATATCTTGCTATATTCATTAGGAGTGAGGAAAAACTTAGTGCTTTTAGATGGTTAGCCGCAAGGCCTATTGTAATAACAGCCCCAAGACTTGCTTCAACAAGTATCATTTGTCTTTTGATATGGCCACAGGTACAACTAGAAGAGATGAAAACAACCAATTATACAATCTGAAAATAAGACAGAAGAGAAACATCAACCACCCTATTGTGACTAAATTAACAAGAAAAAGATATCTCCTCAAAGTTAATTGAAGAAAAAGGCTACTCCATTATTGGTATTAATGATTAACTACCACCCATGTATCTCTTTAAATGACAAAAATAATAAAAGAAAACCAAGGTAAATCAAACTTTAAATCAAGAAACAACCCAATCGAGCAAGTAAAAAGTCCTTACTTTGTGTTCATTATAATTAAAGCATCATTTTAGCTCCGGAATAGAATAGTAGCTTCACCTTTTGATAAACTACCTCCATATTTTATTACTTTTTATAATTTCTCCTAAAACTCCGCACATGGAAAAAATGGAGCAAGTATTTATAAACAGAGGAAATATTACCTGTAGACTTGGTTCACCCTTATTAGTGTTTTCACACTGCTTTTCTTTTGTTGCATATGCGCGAACAACTTTTCCTATAGCCGACTTTTCAAATTCCTGCTGCCTGCATTTGAGTTTAGAAATTTCATGATGATCTAAATATCATTGGACATTTGGAATGGTCTTAACACATGAATTTTCTGACAAAATAAAAAAAAAGACATTGTCACATTGATAATTAAAAGTCATCTGCCTCAAGATGTAATTAGAGACCTTATCTTAATCCTTCAATATGTATATGCTGCTTTTTCTTTGGCAGGTTTCCAATTGGGTTAGAAACCACTTAGATGATTAATACATAACAGAAAATGGTAACAAACAAAATGTTGATATGGTAAAGCAAATTGGATCAGGTTCTCAGTTTTTCTTCTACAACACCTTCATTTCACAAGTATAAAAAAGGTTCACGAATTATAATTTTTTTTTAGAGATCTTTCAAAAGATTGACAATTGAATGCAACAAAAAAAAATCCTCAAAGAAACACAACACATCTCAATAGTTTTGCAAAACAATTTTTCTGACCGATCTGCAAATGAGAGGAACACAGTGTTTTATACATAACACAGAATGCGTAAAGTCGTGCCTCTCGCACTTTAAAAAAAAAAAAAAAAGAAGAAGAAGAAACAAAGGCCTGATATATGATGCTAGAACAATTAAATGAGTTAAGAACTCTAATTATAGACTAAAAAATATTAATATTATAAAGCTTAATTATTGAAACAAAGAATCACTAGTAGCAATATATTTCAACCAACACACTACATAATGTATAGTTCGTCATATATGGATTAATATGAGAAGAATAAGATCTAATTCTAGCTAGCACCTTCCCAAAATCCCAACCAATACTCCTTCTATAAACCCCATTCCAAATCAGTGTGTTATCTAAATCCTTTATCTATATCATAATATGCTTCCATTCCTTCTTCCTCAACAGTCTTATTATATGGTTGGCAATTCAGTTATGTTTTTAATAAAAGCAGAGTAAATTTTATGTTTAAGGCTATTCTGAATTAAGCACAAATTATTGTTAAGAATCAGTGATGGAGCAATAAGCTCCTCTACATACATCTGGATGATACTCTAAATACTATATTATGAAAATCCAATAAGAATTATCATTTTGATACTTTAAATTCAACAAAAAATTACAAAAAATAAAAGTTGATTCAGTTAAGAATTTGCGGCTGAATTCTCTCAAATTAGATCCAAATCCATGAAATTTCACAAAATAAGACATCTCTAATAAAATAAACAATTAAACCAAATTCGTTTTTTTTTTCACGAATTTAACAGGGAAAAAAAATAAACTCAGAAGTGTAGGGAATAATTTCAAGCCTTTAAATCCCACTAGCTTGAACCCCACTGTGATCATACACTAAAGTACGGTGGCGTCCAAAAGGGAAGAAGATAGAGCAAAAGAGTCGCCAACAAGTTTTTTAGGAACTTGTAAACCATTCACGAGGTGAAGGTTACACCCCTTAACGATCCAAGAGATCGTCAACTCAATAAGGTCATGAACCAAATAAGGGTTCGGGGATGATGGTACAAATCCAACCTAAAAGAGATTGAACCTGCCCTAATAATAAGCCTCTACTTTATTCTGCTCGTATTCATGTGCGCTTTCTGACTAACATGCAATCAATAGGATTAACCCTAAACATGTTTAATCTATGTTGGTTGAATTTAATGCACAAATAAACTATTATTGGCGATCACTTGAATTATAATCACAATTAACCTAACAAGATTATTAATTATCTTATTAAGCGTGATTACAAGTACAAATTCCCTTTAACATGCAATAAAAGGTGTGATCAAGCAATAAATAATAAACAAGCAACATAAAAATAATCATGATCATAAAAATAAATTATAATTGAAATAATCATGATAATAATTATAAAAGAAAATAATCATTATATTAATAATAATTGAAATAATTATCATAAATAAAATAATCATCAAAATAATAATATTCATAATCATTATAACAATTATAATCATAATCATGTTCATGTTAATATTAAAGCATAATAAAAATAGTAAGATCCTAGGCATGATACTAACAAGATTAATAACAAACCCTAACATGTCACTAAGCAATAAAAATCAAGTCTTTAGCCCTAACATGATACTAACAATCATAAATATTAGGAAGAGAATAAAGGCATCATACTTTTAATCATACTTAATATTAAAGTTACCCTAGACATGATACTAGGAATCAAAATAACAATCTAAGCATGATTTCTATATCATAAATCAATTAATCAATTAAAGTACTTACTTGGATGCCTCGTACCTATTTCTAATAACAAAATACACACATTAGTAACTTCAAGGAAAACAATAATCAAAACAATTAAATTAAATAATTGAAATAGAGATTTGGGACCAAACCCTCAGAAATTAAACCTTTCACGTCTAGGACGAAGGCAACTTCGAATATGGCTAGGTGTTTCTAGATCTTGTGAATGCGAAATTATTTATTTGAGAAAAGGCTAGTTTAGAAAAGAGAGAGAGAGAATAATCAAGAAAATCTTGATGAGAGTTGGTTAATGAATGAAGAAAGTTGATGATTGAAAACGGAGTTTATTAAAACTTAAGAATAAAGAGAATTGGTGAATCGATAGATGTAGATGAATGAATGGTGAATGAATATTGACAATCCGTGAATGAAAACGGAGTTTTTGATACGATATTTATAGAGAAAATCATCTAAAAAAGATAATTTATCAAAACAGAGTCTGAAGACCACAAAAACACCTTGGCGCCAGCCCTGGCTCATTGGCGCCAGAACCAGTGGCTAGCGCCAGGCGCCAATGCTGGCGTCTGGCACCAATCCCGATTCCAGGCGCCAAGGCCTGGGGTCGGACGCCAAATCGGCTTTCAACGCGTTTTCGAAAAACTGATAAACTTACTGTACTGGAAGATATAATTTCAATCAAAAATGCTATTTGATCTAATTAAAACTCTTAAGAGTCCTAATTGAATTAAGAATGAAAAGAACCTTCTAGAATATTCTAGAAGACTAAAATCATTCCTAATTGCATTAGGAATGATAAATTATATTAGGCCCTCGCCTAGATCATAGGGCCGTACTTAAAACTCAAACCGGGCCCAGTTTAGTAAATTGGCCATAATTTCCTCAATATTCATCGGAATTGGGCTTATAATATATCGTTGGAAAGGTCTTTGCAAGCCCCATCCAACTATACTACTATGGACCCATATTATGGACCAACCAAACTGGATTGACTGTTTTCTTAAAATAAAGATTTCAAAAACAAGGAGAAGAGAAAAGAAATAAAACTTTCCGCAAAACTAGACATTTCCACACTTTCGTTTCATTCGATTACGATTCGACGTGAAAGACACTTACACAGGGTTTGGTTTTGGGGAGACACAAATGGGTGTCTACAAGAAGTAACATAAATTAGGTGGAAAAAGATAAATTTTCAGAAAATTGGCAATTAGGCATCTACAATAAGATTAACAGTAAATAGAATTTCAATTAAAACAAAAATCACATTTACAAAAAAAAAATCGACAAAATTTCACGAAAATCTAAAAAAAATCAATAAAAAAATATAGAATTCAAAAGAGATTACCTGCAAAGCAAGGCGTCAGAAAGCCTTCTTGACCTCAGATTGAGAAGCTTCGATGAACACTAAGAGTCTGGTAATTAAGGATAAGCTTAAGTAGTAGCAAACGAAGCAAAAACAAATACAACCCGATTTCTGCTCGTTTTGATCTTCTTCTTCATTGATGGAGAAAATATAGATTAAAATAAATAATCTCACCGAGTAATGGAAACCAGAATGGGGATAATTCAACTCATTACGTGAACCCTAATTCAAAATTTTACATACCTTTTGTTTGGGTCCAATTTAGTCAAAATTGGGCCTGAGCACTAAATGATCCAATTAAAAGCCCAAGGTCAAGGTTCAACTCTCCAATTGCTCAAAAGTCAAAAGTCAGCCCACAAAGTAAGCCAATTGGGCTAAAGCCCAACCTCTCCAAATATGATGAGGTATAAAAGCCCTCATATTAACACATTCAAGGAGAGAGTCATATTCTTACATAAGACATCTCATAACATCACATACGAGACACAACAACACATGCATCATCACATACATTATCTCATACACGGATTATTCCAACTCATATGCTCATTCTTGCATTGAGAAATACTCCACAAAAGCCTCAAGCTACAAACTCTCTTGCATAGTGTCTTCCTTTTTACACATTGTACTGACTTTAGCATCGGAGGGGCCTTCCTCGGAAACACCCCCGAGGCTAGTTTACGTGTGTTCACTGTGCAGGAAACCTTCGGCCCAACACAGCTTGGATCGAATCCAGTCTTCTCCATTTTAGTGGACCTTCGGCAAGGTCCCATTGTTTTCAACCGAAACAATTTGGCGCCGTCTGTGGGGAAGACTTTCAAAAATCTTTAAGCCAAATTCCTAACCAAGATCATCTTGCAATTGTCTTAGCAGCCATGGCTAAGAACCGCAAGAGCAAAAGCCTCCGTCAAGGAGCGGGCGAAAAGCCTAAAACCCCTACACCATCGCCCTCGCCGGACCGGAACTCTCCCAAGGGTGCCGGCTCGGGGGGAGGATCACACAAGGAGGATTCCCTATCTCCTATAATGCATGACTCTCAATATAGGCCGGACCACTCTCGGTCTAGCAGGGGTCAGTCTGATCATAGGACATATTCAGTGTCCCGAAGCCAACCATCGGCTGCACGGCCTCATGCCCACACTCGGCCGGAGACCCCTTTGACGGGGCCCAGTTCGGAAGAGGTGGCAAGAGCGCTGGCAGTACTCATGGAGGCAATGAGGGCACAGAATATGCCACCGCCTCGTGATCGAACTCCTCCGCATACCCGGCATCAGCGGAGGAAGTTAGACCATGACGGTGGGAAGCTTCCTTCCTTCCGGGAACTGGAAGAGTGGGAGGAGGATTCTTGGAAAAATGAAAAACAGAGGAAGAAGAACTCTCAATTATTTAAAGGATCCTCATCCTCAAGACCAGCAGCGCATAAGAGCAGCAGCTCAGCTTCTCGGCCAGAATCTACTCGCCGGGAACCTGAGACTGCTCGCAGAAGCGTCCTTGACCGACTCGGCGGCCAGGAACCGAGCGTGCGTAGTCGCCTCACGTTCCCTGCAGCCGAGGCCCAGACTTCCCAGCCAGGGACGAAAACCACTCCTACCTCTCTGAGAGGGCGGAGCGCGGTCCCTTCGGCCAGGAACAAGGGCAAGGCCATTATGCTTCCCGCTAGTTCACCATTCGAGCAATGGATACTAGAAGAGCGCGTACCCACGGTTAAAATACCGTCGCATATCACATATGACGGGACCACGGATCCGAAGGACCACGTGGCCTCGTATGAGGCTCATATGCATCTTTGCCCCAGATCCGAGGCAACTTGGTGCAAATATTTCCCAACCACTCTCAAGGGGGTCGCGCAAGCGTGGATCTCCAAGGGAGTAAGGCAAGGCTCCATAACAGGTTGGGATGATCTGTCCTCCAAGTTCAGGAGCAAGTTTTCCACGGCAAACCGCCGAGAAAAGACTACCGCAGAGCTCATGGGTCTGCAACAGGGGGAAACCGAAAGCCTCCGAGACTACCTGACCCGTTTCAGTAACGAGTCATCAAGCGTCTCTCAGCTGGACCAGGGGCTAGCTGTTTTTTGCAATGCAGAATGGCCTTCAGCCAGGAAAATTCCTAGACTTCATGGTCATGCATACCCCGCAGACCTTGGAGGAAGCTCTTAGTGCTTCGGATAAGTTCATCCGAGCCGAAGAATGGAATAAAGCAAAAACCCAACCTCAATCCGGGGGAGGGAAACAGAGGCAAATACCCTTGTCTGAAGGCCAAGGCCATAAGGCAAAGGGAAAATCAAAGGCCTCGGAGCCATCTTCGGCCAGCGACCTAAAGAAGGACAGGTTTGCCTCATACACAGGCAGATACGAGTCCTACACTCCGCTCTCTCTTCCACGCGCCAAAATTTACAGTGTGACGAAGGAGGAGCAGAGTTACCGAAAGCCGAGACCACTCCCAGAGTGGTATCAGCGAAAAAATAAAAATCAGTGGTGTGAGTTCCACGAGTCTTCGGGCCACAACACTGAAGAGTGTATCCAGCTGAAGGACCAGATAGAAGACATGGTCCGGAAGGGATACTTGAAAAAATACATCGCGGATCACCGCGAGAAAAAAGAATCCGAAAGGTTAGCAAAGGACCCTCGGCAGGACCTTGATTTCCCCCGGAAAAACAGTAAAAAACCGGAGGGGAAATTCCCTCCGATCAATGTTATCTCGGGAGGAATATACTCTCGGAGGGAGCACAAGCGTCACCTTAGAGCTTTGACTCACCAGGTGAACAACGCTGACATTCAATCTCCCCAGTCGCCGGTGCCGAACATGACGTTCACAGCCGCCGACTGCCGGGGGATTACGTTCCCTCACGAGGATCCGTTGGTGATCATCGCCACGGTGGCCAACCACGACGTCAGTAAGGTCCTTGTTGACGGCGGCAGCGGAGCAAACATTCTGTTCCGAAAGGCCTACAACCAAATTAAGCTGAAGCCCAAGCACCTTACGCCGGTACCCTATCCGGTATCCGGGTTCAATGGGGCTTCAACTTATCCAGATGGGAAGGTGACACTTCCTGTCACCATCGGTTGCGATGAGGCAGCCCGGAACGTCATGATTGAGTTTTTGGTCATCGACGCTCCTTCAGTGTACAACGTGATTTTGGGGAGACCCATAATTCACGAGATCCAAGGGGTCGTCTCAACTTATCATCAGCTGATGATTTATGTCTCAGACGCCGGCTTCCCCGAAAGGATACAGGGCAACCAGAAGGACGCCCGAAGGTGCAACTACCTCAAGCCATCCAGTAGTCGCCCAGATAACGACAAGGATGAGGAGGAGAAAGAAAAAGAAAGAGAGCCAAGCACAAAAAAGCCGAAAGGCCTAAGTGCTTCGGCCCAAGGATCAGTGCCCAGGGAAAAAGGTCCCGAAAGGGAAAAGGTTGACTCTTCATCTGAGCCGAAAGACTCAGAGAGCCAGCCGAAGAACACAAAGACTGGGACACCTGCTGACATTGGCAGCAGACCAGATTCTGAAGAGTCCAGTCCATCGGCAATGGACATGGACCAACAGACTGAAACAGTTGAGTTAGCCGAAGGAGATGCTGAGAAATGTGTAACAATCGGGATGGACCTTGATCCTGACACCCGTTGTGAACTTATTCAGCTCCTTCGGGATAACAGAGATGTGTTTGCTTTCTCGGCAGCTGATATGCCCGGGATAAGTTCAGACCTCATCTCCCATAAGCTTAATGTTGACCCAGCGTGTCGACCAGTTAAGCAAAAGAAGCGGAATTACTCCGCCAATAAGAACCGAGACATCGCAGCCGAAGTCAAAAAATTATTGGAGGCAGGATTCATTGAACCTTGCCAATATCCGGAATGGCTGGCAAATGTGGTGATGGTTCAGAAGCCCAATGGTACCTGGAGGATGTGCGTTGACTTCACGGACCTAAATAAGGCTTGTCCGAAGGATTTCTATCCCTTGCCGAGGATCGATCAGCTAGTCGATTCGACAAGTGGCCATGCCTTGCTTAGTTTCATGGACGCATTCTCAGGGTATCATCAGATCTTCATGCACCCCGACGATCGAGCAAAGACAGCATTCGTCACGAACGCTGGGGTGTATAATTACAAAATGATGCCCTTCGGATTGAAAAATGCGGGGGCAACCTATCAAAGACTGGTGGATCAAGTTTTCGCCGATCAAAAGGGCCGAAACATGGAAGTCTATGTTGACGATTCAATCGTCAAAAGCAAAAAACTAGAGGACCATGTAAAGGACCTGGCTGAAACTTTCGCCACCTTGAGAAAGCATCAAATGAAGCTGAATCCGAAGAAGTGTGTCTTCGGCGTGAAGTCAGGGAAATTCCTGGGTTTCATGGTCAGCAAAAGGGGGATTGATGCCAATCCCTCTAAAGTCAAAGCGGCGCTCGACCTTCCTGAGCCGAAAACGAAGAGGGATGTTCAGCGGCTCACCGGAAGAATGGCAGCCCTTTCGAGGTTCATTTCTAGAGCTTCGGATAAGGGGTTACCCTTCTTCAAAGCCCTGAAACTCCCGAAAACAAAAGAGCTTGTTTGGGAGGAAGAGCAAAAAGATGCCTTTCAACAGCTTCGGGAGCATCTGGCTCAACTCCCAACGCTGGCTAGCCCAGTTGAAGGAGAAACTCTATACCTATATGTGGCCGTTAGCCCAGCCACCATCAGCGCAGTATTGCTGAGGGAAGAGAGTAAGAGTCAGCAACCGATTTATTTCGTCAGTCATACACTGACGGATGCCGAGACCCGCTATCCTCTACTCGAGAAAGTTGCTTTCGCGGTAGTGGTAGCTGCTCGGAAGCTGAGGCCCTATTTTGATTGCCATCAGATAGTGGTCTTAACTGATCAGCCGTTGGAAAAAGTTCTTGGCAAGGTTGAAAAATCCGGTAGACTAGCCAAGTGGGCTTTTGAGCTCACCGAATTCAGCATCAGCTACCGTCCGAGGGCTGCCATCAGGGCTCAAGCCCTGGCGGATTTCTTGGCCGAATGCTCATACCAAGAAGTGCTGGACAGTGACAAGAAAGTCTGGACCGTGTTTACGGATGGGTCTTCCACCGAAAACGGTTCGGGGGCAGGAGTAGTGATAACTTCTCCCGAAGGCAAATCCTTTGAGTATGCAC